GCAGTGGTGCGATCTCAGCTCACTGCAACCTCTGCCTCCTGGGTTCAAGCGATTCTCCTGCCTCAGCCTCCCGAGTAGCTGGGATTACAGGCATGTGCCACCACGCCTGTAATTTTTGTATTTTTGTATTTTTAGTAGAGACAGGGTTTTGCCATGTTGGCCTTGCTGGTCTCGAACTCCTGACCTCAGGTGATCAGTCCGCCTCAACCTCCCAAAGTGCTGGGATTACAGGCATGAGCCACCATGCCTGGTTGGATTTGTTTATTTCTAAAATATTGTATGTTTGTATCTATCTTCACACATGCAATTCAATTCACTAAAATATATTAATATTTTCTTACAAGTGTATAGATGATATTACTTTTGTGGCCATACAAGAAGTTTCTTGAAGTTCAAACAACAATTCATATAGAATATTCGACAACCCTGTTTTTCTGGATAAAGCTTGAAACCGTGGAGAAATGAAACATCATCCTACCCTCAGAGAGCACACAGTCTAGGAAAAATGATTCCATTTGAAATAATTCAAATACATTTTAAGCTCAGTAGGTTTATTAATATTAGGCAACAATAAATGACTGCTTAGTATTCTTCATTTTATCCTTTAAAAATTTTGGCATTTTGATTTTTCTTTATTAAAAAATATACTTTAAAAATTAGAGAGGGAAAATGTCTTTTAACCTCACTGAATAAAAGAAAATAATTGAAACTTTAATTTTCATTTTAAAAGTAATTACATGCAGTGATAGCCTAATTTTGATGGCATGGTAGTTAACAGACAGCTGCTTTTATTTTAAATGGAATTGCATTTTTAACAGAAACTACTCTCATTGTTTGCTTTCATCTTCTAAATAGGAAAGCCAATTTGAGGGTTGAATATTTATCTGGCGCGTTTGATGGAGCCAATTAAGATAATTCAGGTTAATAGAAAAAAATAATTTAATATGTTTCTCACTTAGCTGATTCATAAAGTTGACAATGACTTCTATCTACAACAGCTATTCCAAAAAAGTCTGTGATAAATTCAGCCTTCTTCTTAAAGGAAAAACAAAATACTGTAAATTTTACTCAGAACTCATATTTTTAAACTTCATTAATTGTACACAATAAATTGAAGTGACAATATTTATATAATATAGATTTCAAGATTATCTTCTCAGCATGTATGAAGATTGATTATGATGTTTCATTATAGCTATGCACCTACTTACATTAAAAATTAATGTATCACAGCAGTGTCTTTCAGGCAGTAGTTAAAATAAAAAGAAATACTTCACTAGATAGGATAAATACTAACAAGAGGTTGCTGCAGACCCCAAACTGCAACTTTTTTTTTTTTTTTTTTGAGATGGAGTCTCGCTCTGTTGCCCAGGCTGGAGTTCAGTGGCGTGAACTTGGCTCACTGCAACCTCTGCCTCCCAGGTTCAAGCGATTCTCCTGCCTCAGCCTCCCGAGTAGCTGGGACTATAGGCACACACCACCACGCCCAGCTAATGTCGTATTTTTAGTAGAGACAGGGTTTCACCATGTTGTCCAGGATTGTCTCGATCTCTTGACCTCGTGATCCATCTGCCTCAGCTTCCCAAAGTGCTGGGATTACAGGCGTGAGCCGCTGCACCTGGCCTGATGATTGGGTATCTTAATTTTTACCTGGGAGGCTAGAGTCACTCGTGTGACTACAACAGGGTGGGTTTTTGGTTATTTTTGTGATTGTTTAATGTGTTTGTCTGTGTTCATGTTCAGATTGAGTAAGTTGCAATCTTGTTATTGTCTTGTTCCACCATGGTGACAGAGTGACCTTGTATGATTACCGTTGTTATTCTGTGAAAACTGCTTATCTTGCGTGAGGGAACGCTACAGACTAGTTAGCTGCCAGCTGCAGGCTGTCAGGGTCGTCTTGTTGTTTATCACATTCTCAATC